TTAGAAGCTCCCATGAAGGGCATTAGAAGTTTTGTGAGCATATTAGAAGACAAACTTGGAACCTAAGTATGCATATTCAGCAGACCTGCCTGGATCCCTGGCTCTTAGAAACTAAAACAGATGAAGATGTGCCTCCTAGGAACTAATCACAATATCATTCAAATGGAAGTAAAAGAGATGCATGGCTCCAATGGCGGAAATGAAGAGAACTCCCAACATTACCATTGGCAGGTAGAGTGCATGGTGATGCTTAGCAGTGTAGGACAAAGAAGATCCTATTTGGGAATGAGCTTGGTTCCAAATGCTTTTCCAACTAAGGTTCTAAGAACTGAGCCCTGGGCTTGCCTGGTGGTCCAGTGGTTAAGAATCCACCTGCCAGTGCAGGGGACATGGTTCGGTCCCCAGTCTGGGAAGACGCTGCATGCTGTGCAGCAGCTAAGCCCGTGTGCCACAGCTGCTAAGACTGTGCTCCAGAGCCCGGGGCACCGCAGCTCCTGAAGCCTGCAGGCCCTAGGCCCTGTGCCCCACAGCAAGAGAGGCCGCCACAAGGAGGAGCCTGCAGCTGGAGCCCCTGCTTGCGCAACTGCAGAAAGTCAGCACACAGCAGCGAAGACCCAGTGCAGCCAAAAATAAAAAATAAATAAACAAAAAGGAACCGAGCCCCTTCTCCCCTAGGAATATTAAATATTGAGTCCGCCCAGGAGAGTTCACAAAAGCCCATGTACCCTACAGTAAGCTTAACTGTGGAATTAATCTCATGTGAGACCTGGAGGAGGATGTCATTCACGTGTGAGGAAAATCAGAGAAAGCAGACATAATTCCTTGGTTTTTCTTTTGCCTCCTATGGGCAAAATTTAGATCTTCCTTGGAAGAATTAGAAGTCAATTTTGCCCAAGTCTTTATCTCTGAACTGACCTATAGTCTTCTCCACAGCACCCCCACCCAATGCCATGGAGCTACAGTACTTATCACCCACCCCTAGCCAGATGTTCCTGACCACACCTCTAAAATACTCATTTTCCCTATCCCCCCAAATTTCAGGACCAAGATCAGACTGCATCATTCACTGCATCTGTGACTTTGGGGGCAGACTCAAATTTCACAGTGGAGAGTCAGTTCTAGTATTCTTGAGCATGAAAGTGAAGATTAGAATTTAAATTACACAATCCCTCCACCTGTAAAATAAAGATGATATATCTCTAATAGGATTGATCTAAAAATTAAATGAAAAATGTATAAAATATGCCTAACATGGCTGAAATACCGTAAGTTCTCAATAGTATAGCAGCTTATTACTTTCAAATAGCATTTTAAAAGAACCAAGCACTTTCTATATTTTTAAAACTATACAAATGTATAATCTATTATATTAAATGAGTATTAGATAGGAATTAAAATTATAAATGCTTAAAACACACACAATTCTCATTTCTCCAGCAAATCCTTACAGAGCACTGTTTTTCCTAACACCTGCACCCAAAATGCATCTGATTGCCCCATTCACACCTTACCCTAGCCCCCATAATTCATTATGTAGTCTCCAAATTCAAACCTGTCTTGACATCCATCCAAAAGCCACATGGTTAGAAAGATGACTGTGACTCAAAATAAATTACCATTTAAATTAAAAATGTTGAAATTTGAAAAACCTAAATCACAACATCCTTTCTATGATTATAACAACACACACAGGTTTATTAACTGCTACTTCAAATCCTTAAATCTACCAGTACTATTGACTCATAAAAAAAAATCCTGAAAAATCACATTTCACCCTTTATAAACAGTAAAGAATGACAGAGTAAAATAATTTTGAAAACTATGCCAAGGTTAGAAGCCTATTTCTACCCTTCACTTTCATGCTCAAGAATCCTGGAACTAACTCTCCACCGTGAAATTTGAGTCTGTCCCCAGCCAAAATAGCAGACTTAATGCACCATTAATCTGGTCTGTTCTCAGCCGCCGATTGAAATAGTCACAGTCATTCGATTGTTAAGGAAAAGACAGTACTGCAGAAGTACATGCCAGAGGTCCTTTCATAAAAGCCATTCCGTGTGCTCCATCTGCACGTGCAATCTGCTTGTGTATTTTCAGCCAGCTTGCATGGGCAGATTAATGTGTACAATTAGAAAGCAACCTCACAGGCATTCAATAAACTGCCTTCATTATTACACTCAGGAGAGTCCCTTTGGATGTCAATAAAAGCCTAGTTTTCTGCCTGTTAGCTAAATAATTGACAACACTAAAAATAATCAGAAGCAAATGAACAAGCCTGGAACAAGGTGGTAAGAAAGAGCACATTAAGATTCCCATGGTGGTGCCCCAGGATACTATTAGGAGCTTTTTCTCCAGCAACTTGGAGTTACAGTCTGCTCAAGTCCATGGTTGCCCTTCTCTACAGAAAACAAAACAAAGAACACCACTCCCAGTCTGATATTTGAATTACACATATTATGGCATTGAAAAGATTTGTGTTTCTATTTTGTGATCCTTCATTTGAACACCTTCAGAAGAATCTAACTTTGGGGTGAGAGGATGGAATAACAGCCTGGTTGGTCTAGTGAAAACTTTGTGCTGTTAAAATTCTAACAGCTCAGGGGAGACATCCCTGGTGGTCCAGTGGCTAAGACTCCATGCTCCCAATGCAGGGGGCCCAGGTTTGATCTCTGGTCAGGGAATGAAGATCCCACATGCTGCAACTAAAGATCCTGTGTGCCACCAAGGAGGTCAAAAATTCCCTGTGCTGCAATGAAGACCTGGTGCAGCTAAATAAATATTTAAAAAAAAAAAAATTCTAACAGCTCTCCTATTTAGTTTCTCTACCATAAACTGATCCTAAGAAAATATGATAAAGGCTTGTTATACAGAGGATCCATCTTTTCCAAGAAGTTTTCTTTCATATTCTAGCTATATAATGGTCATTTATTTCATTAGCTACTAGTCTTTTAATTTTGAAAGCACTTCAAAACAAAAGATACTTAAAACACACACACATATACTTCTTCTTGTGTTTCTCAATAGGCTTTAAAAATCAATTTGAGATACTTCTCATTTTCAGCCAACTTCTCTTTTTCCTGGTTAACTGGGACTTTTACGATAAGCAGAAGAAAGCAAGAGTGAAATGTGCATGAAATTGAATTCAGCTCCACTGATAGTGTGTGAGGTGGCTGAGGGTAGAATTCTTTTTTTCTTTACAGAAAAAGGATGATCTCTAATATTTAGTAAAACACAAATTCAAGAAGCTGGAGGACTAGGAAAAATAAAAAAGGTTTGATGACACAATCTCCCACATCCTCTAAAACTTTAAGAATCTCTTATCCTTCACCTTATCGGGTTAAAACTTCACAGAGGATGGGCTTGTTTTCCTAGTCTTGTACCTAAGACTCCTCACAGTGAGAAGGTCTTCCCTGTCCAGTGTAAAAGGAGGATGCCACAGGATAAATACATTTTATTATGTATTACAATCTATTACAATACTAAAATACTATCTTATTGTTTCCAGGCAACATGCCCCCATGGAATCCCTGTGTCTCCTTCAACTCCTCTGATTGGCCAAGAAATCAACTCTCATCCATTATCTACCAAAGAAGGCAGAGGCAACAATACATTAACCCAAATCTATTGCCTGCCTCCCTCAATCTCTAGGACAGTCAACTTCTCCTGGTGTTTAGCTTAACACCAGCTTCCATACCGCATGCCTGCCTTAAAACAAAAGTGAGGAAAGATAACGCCATTCATTAGCACTTCCACCCAACCCCATTCCATCTCCCACTTTTTACCTGGCCTGGGTAGCAGAGGCAAAGTACCCCATTTGGGAAGGGGCAAAGTGAAATATTGATAAACATATTTTGCATTCCAACCTGAGTCTTAAAGCAAGGAGTTGTTGCTTACAACAGAGGCAGGAAAATTTCAGTGGTATGAGAAAACCAGAGAGAGCTGTACTTAGAAGAGGAATACACTTTAGGGTGTCACATATGCTCACACCAACTGCCAATAAGCTTAAGTTCTGCAAATGAGGTATAATGATGGAAATAGATAAGAGGAAGCAGTCGGAACAATCCATCTGAAAGTGGAAGGCCAATGTCTAGCTCTGGTGCAACCAAAAATCTATATAGTCCCTACAAAATGTGTTTTCTGATCCCATTCAATAAGAACCTCTCTCTGTACGAAGTTACTTATCAAATCCCCATAAAACGAAATCACTTGTGTCCCATTTATGTATTTTATTTAATCCTTACAAATGTTTGATGGGATATTTCCAATCCTATTAGAAGAAAAAAAAACTACTGAGGTTTCAAGAAGTTTAGTAGTTTGTCCAAGGTCACAGCTAGAGAATGGAGCTAGGATTTTGAACCCAGATCTGCTTGGTTTTAATTCTACAATATTTGGTATTAATCTAGGGACAGAAATACAGTTCTTTGATTTTGTCTATTCTTTTAGGTGGTGTTACTTAGAGCTGGGACACAAACTTATGATAAAGCACATTGTGGTTGCCCTATACACGTGGGCTGCTGTGATTCCCAAGTCACACTGGAAAAAGTACCTTGATGTATGACCATCAATTGGAGCTTTGCTGATAACTATGAAATTATTTCTCAAATCTTGTTTACAAAAATATAAGTCCTCTGTCCATTAGCTAAATCCCTAGTTAGATTCTGCTTGGGTACTTCTTTTCAAACAGCATCTTGCTTATATTGATGTTTCGGAAGTCTTCATAATCAAAACTAACCTGGATTACCAAAAAGTCAAACCCTCCAAGTTATTTAGAATATGGGATTTCTCAAATTTAGCAGTATTCTGTCTAATCTGTTGACTACTAGCCACGACTTTGGTGAGTAGAGATGTCTCCAAACTTGGAAACTCACTTTTAGAGTTCAATCACATAATTAATAGCCAAGAATTCATTACCAGATATTTTAAATAGTTACCATCACCTGGACTTTAAAAGCACAATGAACAATATCTCTGTAAAAGGTACAAAGTTCTGAAAACAAACTTACTGTTGCTGATGCTCTCTGAAAGTTTCTCTCCTGAGGTTTTCTTGAAGTCTTTTTTTCTCCTCTAATTTGTTGCTCTGAAATTGCAAGTAACAAAATATTATCTTTTAAGGAAGCTTTAGATGAAAATGTTGACTTAAAACTCAACATTCAGAAAACTAACGTCATGGCATCTGGTCCCATTACTTCATGGCAAATAGATGGATAAACAATAGAAATGGTGAGAGACTTTATGTTTTGGGCTCCAAAATCACTGAAGATGGTGACTGCAGCAATGAAATTAAAAGACGCTTGCTCCTTGGAAGAAAAATTATGACAAACCTAGACAGCATATTAAAAAGCAGAGACATTACTATGCCAACAAAGGCCCAGCTAGTCAAAGCTATGGTTTTTTCAGTAGTCATGTATGGATGTGAGAGTTGGACTATAAAGAAAGCTGAACACCAAAGAATTGATGCTTTTGAACTGTTGTGTTGGAGAAGACTCTTGATAGTCCCTTGGACTGCAAGGAGATCAAACCAGTCCATCCTAAAGGAAATTGGTCCTGAATATTCATTGGAAGGACTGATGCTGAAGCAGAAACTCCAATACTTTGACCACCTGATGTGAAGAACTGACTCATTTGAAAAGACCCTGATGCTGGGAAACATTGAGGGCAGGAGGAGAAAGGGACAACAGAGGATGAGATGGTTGGATGGCATCACCGACTCAATGGACATGGGTTTTGGTGAACTCCAGGAGTTGGTGATGGACAGGGAGGCCTGATGTGCTGCAGTCCATGGGGTCGCAAAGAGTCGGACACGACTGAATGACTGAACGGAACTGAACTGAGCAGAATCATGATGTTAAAATTAACCAAGGTCCAAAATCTTTAGGTTCAAGTGGCCTCCATAATCCATTATGGTGATTAGCAGGGCTGTGAAGATGATATCCCTCTCTCAACTCTTGGGCCCTACACTGAAAGCCAGAAGCCCTGAGTTCTTTCCATGGTCACCCTCTCCCAGCTTGATGGGTATAATCACAAAAATCAGTATTTCATATTTTTAATCTTAGTTCAGATGATAGCAATATTTCTATCTTAAGCAATGTCTTCGAAATGTTCTAGGGAAAACATAAAATTTCCATATCAATCATGTTAAATGAAAATGATAAATGGTTTAATAGTCGATATATATATATATGGTTGAATATACTACATATATATATTTGTATATATATGTACATATTTATATATTTGTATATATACTACATACATATTTATACTACATATATATATGTGTGTGTATATATATATGTCTCACTCTATATCCTGATAAAGCATTCAGGAAACAATTTTCAATAATCCAATTCAATTCCCTTCTGACTTAGAATCAGACACTTAAAGCTGTTGGGAGACAGAACAGCAAATGTCCAAAATAAGCCTTCGCTTAAATACTCTTCTCCTTTTTTTTTTAAATTGTTTGGAGAGTCTAAAGAATTTCATATTTGATATTACTGTGATATTGCATTACTTCCCTTGTGGCTCAGCTGGTAAAGAATCTACCTGCAATGCAGGAGACCTAGGTTCAATCCCTGGGTTGGGAAGATCCCATGGAGAAGGGAATGGCTACCTACTCCAATATTCTGGCCTGGAGAATTCCATGGTTTACATAGTCCACGGGTTTGCAAAGAGTCTGACACAACTGAGCAACTTTCACTTATGCTTCCCTGATGGCCCAGACGGTAAAGTGTCTGCCTGCGATGTAGGAGACCTGGGTTCGATCCCTGGATAGGGAAGATCCCCTGGAGAAGGAAATGGCAACCCACTCCAGTATCCTTGCCTGGAGAATCCCACGGACAGAGGAGCCTGGTGGGCTGCTGTCCACGGGGTCGCTACTGTCACCATGGCTCTGACATATTTTAATCCAACTTAATAACCCAGAAACACTTGCTTTTTTTTTTTTTTTTACTATGATACAACTGTCATTTTTTAAATTTGCTCATGAAAAACAAGTAGACTTCCTAGACGGCAAATTTAATGGGGAGTTGAGACAAATTCCACAACACAGGAGAGATTTGAAGTTTTAATGTCAAGCATCTTTTATTTGCTTTAATAAAAAAAAAATGGACTTGTCTACTGGGAAGACCTGTGAAAGGAGAATATGGAAATCATCGCTTCCAGACTCTAACATAAGTTTAGTTCCATTTTCCGAAGAGGGAAAAAATTGTTCATTTCCGTGGAAGTCTTCATTCACATAGAACTATTTACTTATCCCATCTTGAAAGGTAAAATGAATGATTTCAGTTTCAGAAAAAAATAAATAAAGAAAATTTACTACAATCTGAAAGCATAAATTATAATACAAGGCAAGGGGGTTATTAATGAAAACAGTTCGAGGAAGCAAACTGAATAAACATGATCTCAATCTAGAAAAAAAAATCCTGACTCATGAGACCAAAAGTGGTCAATTTTGATGAACTCCCCACATCTCCAGGGGAAGGAAAGGGGGCCAAGAGTTAAAAGACAGCAAGCAAGCAGCAGGTACTGATCAAACCAGAATTAGCAATGCTACTGAGAGAACAGTGAGAAAGCCACACAGGCATCTAGAGACCAAGGCTGGGTTCCTTCAGCAAGGTCAGAAATTGGAATGTGGACTCTCATCTCTTCACTAGCAGATCGTCACTGTGCTTAGCTCACAGAAACAGTTACCCAGTAGCTATGTCCTATCCAACAAAGGCCTGTTTATCCCTGAAGAGTTGATGGGGAAGTGCTTTTCAGAATCTAGAGTATTTGAGTATTCAACACCTACCACTGTGGTGGTGGTTTCCGTTGTTTCGTGCTGTTCAGTCACCAAGTCGGGCCTGACTCTCTGTGACCCCCTGGACTGTAGCCCGCCAGGCTCCTCTGTCCATGGGATTCTCCAGGCAAGAACACTGGAGTGGGTTGCCATTTCCTTCTCCAGAAGATCATCCCAACCCAGGGACCGAACCCATGTCTCCTGCTTGGCAGGCAGATTCTGTACCACTGAGCCACCTGGGAAGCCTAATTATTTTAGCACACTAATCCAAATACTTAGATTTAGTCAGACTGTTTCTTTCTTTCCATTTAGCAGTGAGTTAAGGAGTCACCCAACCATACTTACACATGCATATACAAAAGCAGAATGTAAAATACCTAAGGACATGAGGTCCAGAAGAAAAACACTGCAGTCGGTTCTAGGTTCACTATCACTGAGTGACCTTAAGCAAATCATTTACTATCACTGAATCCCATGCACTCAATAAACATTCATCATATGCCTGTTATATGCTCCATACTGTGTTCTGTTAGATGCTGGGACTACAGGTATAAACAGAGCAGAGTCTACCCTGGAAAATTTGAGAAGCTAGCTGGGACCATAGACAAGAAAGCCATGATGGCAAAGTGTAAAATATATTAGGGAATAGAGGTTTGCAGATCTGTAGTATGAACATAAAGAAAAAAAGCATAGAAGTGGCCTGTTGGAGAAATGCTTTCAACAGGTGCCATAAACATTCATTTGGTGCCTTCCATGTGCCAGGCCCCATCTTGGGTTGGGGTAGAGTCAGGGTTAGCCAAAATTTGAATAACTTTTGGAACGTGGTTTCTAACCTTGGGTTCATGAATTAAGTGTCTGTTAGGAGTATGCTCAGTTTTAAGGTGAATGGGTTCATAGCTTGCTTGCTTCAGATTTCCCTAGGGGCGGATGACCAAATAAAAGGATAAGAACCATGGGTCTAGTGAGAGATAGACATTCTAGATGGAGACCAATATTAAGCAAGAACTCCACAGGAGGAAAAGGGGGTGATGGGAGCAGGATACTGCATTCTACTGTGTGAGTCTCTCATGGCCCAGGGCCTAGCAGAGAGGTCCACAGGGCTAAAATAGAGCAGCATTCAGCTCCCCAAGCTTTGCATCCTGGCACAGGGGCCTTCAGCACAGCAGGGGTATCTTTCTCTGTTTCTGACAAAGGAACCATCTCTCACCTTTGTAAAATCTGAGCACCCACAGAACTGACTGCCTGGATGAAGCATCTGTTTCTAATTTGCACAAAGGCAATGATGGGCTCGTTATGGCCCTGAATAGGAAAAGGGCATTTTTATAACATGTATTTTCAATACCGAAAGGCAGAAGAGAATATATCAGTTCAGGAAACCCCAAGAAGCTTATGTATAAATTCAAAGGGGTTTGTATGAGATGGGTGGAAAATAAGATTGAGAGAGGAGGAAGGGGCAGTTATAAAGAAATGTATATGCCAAGTAAAGGAGTTTGGACTTCATTAAAGGCAATGATGAGCCACTGTGTTATTTTAAGCAGGATAGTAAGCAGTTAATCCTGAAAGCAGCATGAAGGATAAGCTGCAGAAAGGATCACAAATATAAAAACCAATGGTGTGGTTCTCACAAGCCACATCATAAAATGATGAGTCCCAAATTAAGACAACACAGACATAAAAGAAAGGACAAACTCTGAGAAAATGTAGGGGACAGAAATAAGAGGAGAGTAAAAAGGAAATAGTGGGAGGCGGGCTATATTAATGTGTGTGTGTGTGTGTGTGTGTGCGCGCGCACGTGCTCAGTCATGTCAGATTCTTTGCAACCTCATGGACTGTAGCCTGCCTGGTTCCTCCGTCCATAGAAATTTTCAGGCAAGAATACTGGAGTGGGTTGCCATTTTCTTCTCCAGGGGATCTTCCCAACCCAGGGATCGAACTCACATCTCTCACACCTCCTGCACTGGCAGGCAGATTCTTTACCACTGTGCCACCTGGGGAATCCATATTAATATAGGATGAGTCAAAAAAGGGGGGAGATTACAGGTGACTGTGATTTAAGAGCATCAGAATGAATATGAGGTTGCTTTTGAACCTGTTAGGGGTATGCTCATTTGTATCTGAGATATACTGTGGCACCTCTAGAAAGGAATGGCAAGCATACAGTAAAATACAGTAAAACAGATGTTCTGTGATTCAGGAATACAGTCTGGAGATGTGGCTTTCACACATCATCAGCACAAGCAAAATCCAGGCATGGAAAGGTGGGGGCTTCCACCTAGGAATATGGCAGCACAGGCAATGAG